ACTCCAGATCACACATGCTCACCCCATTCAGAGCGAAAACATCTGCCTTCAGCTATTCCTATTTCCCACGGCTTGTCACAGTCTGGAATAATCTGGGTCCTGATCTTCGTAATCTGGGAGTCCTAGCCAATCAGCTGTCCAACATTTCAGCTTTCAAGCGTCAACTTGTTAAAGTGTCATTTACCAGATTCAATGAGCACTTCATTCCTGACGCTCCGTGCTCTTGGTCGACCGCATGTGGGTGCGCCTCCTGTACGGCTTTAAGACGCCACTAGTATTAGTATGGTTTTTTAACATTGTTCCGGTGTATATATTGTATTATTGATCGTTCGATATTGTATTATGTGTATTATTGTAATGTATTATTGTAATGTTTGGGAGGACAACTAGCAAAGGTGTATATTCACCTGTTTTGTCCTCCCATCCAGTTGTCTGGAAAATTCTAATAAATAAATAAATAAATAAAGTGTTGTGCGTGTGGCTGCCTGTGCCTCCGCATATTTGTAGATTTCACGAAGGCTTTTGATTCTGTGGGAAGGGATACTTTATCGTGCATTGTTGCGGATTAGACGGTTTTTGCGGGTTCTAAAGTGTATTCACGGCATCATTAGTAGTAATCACACATTTAAACAAAATGCTAAATATCATGACAATTCCCTCACAACTTTCTTAGATATTTTGCTGAACCAACAAAGTCCCTTCAGAATTATAAGCAAAGCCATACCTATTTTCTCTGAGGCAGCACACGAAGACTACAATTGCATTCATCACAACACACGATGAGAGAGACATTAAACAAACCGCCGAAATAACCATAAAAGATGAAAGCGCCATCCATTTAATCTTAATATCAGGTTAAGAACAAAATTATTAAAACAACCGAATAAGCTCAAATCTTGTACATCCTCAATCAGACCTTGCAATGAACCTTAATTCTCTATAATATACTCCAGCAAAGCCAGGATACACACATCAAACAACCCAGACTGTACCTGTTTTACTGAGTCTCAAAGACATGATAAGCAGGATGTTGTCTTTGAACACTAAACAGGAGTTTCCTTCCCACTTTTAACTACAGGGATCTTCGGAAATGACATGATTATGTTAGAGCTACTCTCTCATCTTCGCGGTACACACACCGTAAACCGGACAGAAAAGACGTCATGGCTGTTCGTTAGCCGGTGGAATATCCTTCCGCCGGGAGGTTGTTAAGGTTTAAGCCGGAGGAACAACAGTGATGACAGAGTGGCTCAGCAACAGTTGGTATCTGTGGAAACAAAACTGCCCATTACTCTGTATCTGTTTTAGACGTTTAATGGCAAAGATTGCTGAATAAAACTGTTCACTTTGTCATTATTTTCTACTAATCTAATATACTGCCAGAAAAGACTATGATAGTACTGATAACACGAAAGCAACAGTCGGTATCTGTGGCAACCGAACTGCCAATTATTCTCGCTGGACCTGTTTTAGACATTAAATGCCGGAGAGGGAAATCTTCAATCTGACATTTGTTTCTCCACCGGCAGAGGTAACAAGTACTGATAACACAGCAACAGTTTTGTGGCAACCGAATCGCCCATTAGTCTTTACGACTTTGGTACCCCGTGGAAGCAAAAATGGTGTCAATTGCACTAAAAAAGCTCTCAAATGCCACCAGTGCACCGAATTCAGAATGGATATAGAGACTACCAGTAAGCCTCTATTTAATGTAGAATTCTTGTCATTAAAATCAATCTTTTTAATCGTGGAAAATACATTTTGACAGAGAAAGAACAGAAAATGCTACATATTCGGTCCCACGTATTTGCAATTAAATTTGTCTGTTTGTATTGTCCGTCAAACGAATTTGAATGTTTTTGCAATTTACAATGTAGATATTTGACTGGTGATACTGCAAGCAAAATTATACATTATGTTATACATTTTTTTGTACGTGTAGACCCAGTGCAAGGCTTTCTAATGCCCTACTTCCTTCATCACGTAAAATCTTGGAAAATTGCACTAAGGCCACACCAATTTAATTTGTTGGTTCTCGGATTTTTTCAGAAAAAATATGAAGCGACAGGGCGGAAAAAAATAAAAATAAAAACAGATCTAGGCATCCTATTATAGCCCCAAATGCTACGATAGGAGGTGTGAAGTCAACACAAAAGGCTGGTTCAAAATTTAACAATGAATTGTGAACTTCTAATGATACCATTGCATTGAAAGATGGAGTAACTGTAACGACTAGGAAGAAAAGGACTCTTTTCAACTATTCAGGGCAAAATATGAGCATTTTGCAGCTGATTCTGAATTTTTTTTTTTTTTGCAAATCAGGAAAAAATGAAGAGGCGAATCCGAGAACCAACAAATTAAATTGGTGTGGCCTAATAATGCTATTACACCCAGTGATTGCCTGGATCACTTCGCCCCCAGTATAATAAGACTGCCATCACTCTTTCAACGCCCAATCAACCCTCGAGTAACACAGTTATTTACTCGTGCGTGGGCACAGCAAAATGACGGGAACCAACTTTCCTGCTGTCCTCAACCAGGACTCGAAATACTTATAATTCTTTTTTTATTCTTTTATTCAAGACAGTGGTCAGCATAGCAGCAGTACATAACATGTTATGGACCGCTGAATTGTGCTGACCTTACATAGTAGTACATGAAAATACAACGTAGGTACAAACAAAACATACAGATTCACGACAATGACAATATGTACAAATGAAAACTAATTCTGCATTTGACTATTATAAAGTCTGATGGTGCGATGCAGGAATGAATTCTGCAGTCTGGAGGCTCTTGCCATGGGAACCCTGAGTCCTCCCGCGTTCCCTAAGGGCCCCCTCATGCCCATCAGCCCCTCCACTCGGTGCATGTGCACCTTAGTGCACCCACATTTGGAACTGTGCAACAATTTTTTCTGTGGGTGCAGCAGTGCACCCAAATATTTTCATAGGTTTAACGTATGCAAAGGTATTAAATATATAGTAGTTACCGCATATTCTAAACATCTAAGTGTCAGAAAAAAAATACAATAATTGTTATATAATAGTACTTTTCTTGAAATGAAACATAATTATACTTTTTATATAGACATTCTACTTATTTCATTTTATATAGTGCACCTAAAACATTCTTGTGCACTCAATTTTTTTTAGGTTGGGTGCTGTAGTGCACCTATTTTAAAAAAATAAATTTCGAGCCCTGCCTCCTGTCCTACAACTAAAAGCGTGGGCTCCGGAAAATGACGAGAACCAACTTTCCTTCCGTCCTCCAACCAAACGCCCGCTCCCTGTGGATGTTAATGCGGCTCCGTCCTCTATAAAAAGCGACCAGCACACCGGCACAGCCACTGGAGAACAGACGATCCAAGAGCCAAGACAGTCATGAAGACCGACAGCACCAAGCCCGCATCCTTCCTGGTGTTTCTTGTCTTGTTTCTGCTGGTGGAAAAGTCGGAAGGAGGGAAGATGACCTGGCTAGTGCCGCGGGAGAGGGGAGCAGAGCAGGGCCTCACCAACGACTACAAGGTCCTTATGGACCCACAGGACAGCAACAGTGACGAGGAGGTGCGTGTGTGTTTTAACCATTTAGTCAAGCAAATATCAGCACAACAACTGATAGTGCTGTGTATCTGTTCCTGAATGGATCACCTTTACTTTCATCTAAAGGCTTTCATCTTAACTCTCAAATACTTATTATTTCACAGCTATACCTTTCTGTGTGTCTGTGCCTGAACCATTGTTTAGTCCTAGGAAAAATGTTGTGTTTCCTGCTTCAGTCTTGAAAAAAAGTAGGGTCGATAGGTAGGGATTATCTCTTTTTTCCCTTTTTTATTAGACTTTGGATATCTCTGATGAACCAACTTTTCAATGTCTGTTGGAAAACAAATTGTACAATGTTTCATCATTCAGGTGTCAGATCATGGAGCTAGAAAAGGTTGATCAGCTTGAAAAACCCTTCACCCTTCAAAAACAGGGCTAGGGTCGGCAGTTTTTTCTAGGGCCGGTCGGGAAACACATTTTCTTTCCTAGGCTTTAAGCTTAGCAGTGACCAGATGTCAGCAAAAATTGGTAATGTGTAAGAAGGGTCCACAGATGCCATGACCTACAAATGTGTACCATATGATTGCATGAATGGACAAATAAACCAGTCTTCAAATATCTCAACCGCACAGCCTTTTAAGGTCTCTAGTGTTGTTCTACATGCGTTTGCCTCTAATAGAAGACTGGTCCCATGTCTCATTAAGATCTATTGTTAATGGCACCCTCGAGCTCATTAAGCTTATATAAAGCACCACCGACCTGAATAACAAGAATGGTCCGTAAACTAACCTGTTGATTGTGCTGTGTTGATCTAGGCAACACTGGACAAATTGTTTTTGTTTCATGTTATCATGGGTGTTTAAAAAACACCAGAAAACTAGGAGCCATTATATCATAATGTTTAATAGCAAAATTTAACGTTTTACTGACTGTCAGATGCTTTGTTCAGAAAATGATGTTTTCCCCTGACCTTGATCATGTTTACTACTTTGTAGCTAAGTGTAATATTGATATCTTCTTAATGTATTGACTCTCTGATCTTTTGCTTTCTTCCATCCGCGTGCAACTGTGGTTTGCTTTGACGTAAAGTTGTTACGATAGTCGGTGAGCCCAGTTTTGATCATGAAAAGGAAAAAAAGCACGAAAGCACATTTTTCAGTTATCTTCGTTGCTTTCAATTGAGTTCAACTCCCAATTTTGCGTTTACTACCGTATAAAGTAGAAAACTGTGGATTCTTAGTCGTTTCAGTCAACTTCAGTGAAAACCATATAAATGTTGTATACCAAACTATGTTTTTTCCAAAAACACGTCCGAATATAGAAATTAGAAAAAAATTGTAATGTTGATAATCTTAATTTTTATTTGGCAGTTGGAGCTGCTGGGGGCTTACAACATCCTAAGGAACGTTCTGGGACACAGATGGGAGGCACGGCAGAGGCAGGCCGTTAAGCGAGGTGAGTCAGAAGAAGAGAAATTTTCAATATTGCAGAAGAAAGATCAACATGCACGCTACTGTTTAGGGTCGCAGTCCTCAGGACGGGACGAGGTCCTCTATTCATTGTGCTTGTCGAAAAGAGCTAGGGGAATTTTCCCAGTACAAGGAACCTGTAAATACTGTACATAACGTCTGTCTTCTCTGTCACGACCAGTGGAAGAGTAGCTCTTCAATGAGCTAAATTGGTTCACTGGTTCACTTTTATCAAACAATCTGCAATTTTGCATTATAAGGTTGAGAAGGTTATACAGGTTTGTGTATTTGCAGAAACTGTTTCCAAATCCCAGAACAAAATTTTGCAGAACACTAAAGCCTGTTTATCTGAGAGGTTACCAACATCAGTTACAGGCAATGCTTTGACATTCCTGATTATCCTGAGCCGAAAACATTTTGTGATTTTGGTTTCCCGCTGAAAAGGCCACAAAATGTCCCATCCGACATCTAAATTTCAAAGTTTAACCCTCTTTGACTTCATTTGGATACACAATCCCTAAAACGTGATTTCAAGCATTTTTAGAAGCAAATTCTACCGAACCCACTTTTGTTTAGGACTTACCTACGAAACACAACATTCTTTAACAAACGCACAACAACAATATAATCCTGAGAAGCATAATTCTTTTCAATGTGAAGTAAGTCTAGAAGGAATTTTGTTTGACTGTACAGAATGCCATGGTTGATCTGTACAACACCGGTATAATGCAGTTACTGGGCACAAGACATGCTAGTAACGTTATTACGACCATGCTTTTTTATCATTCCTAGCCGACAGGGTTTCTGTTAATATAATATTTACAGTCACTTTGATGAGACTTAAGGTAGTTTGTGTAGACGCTTATATAAAACTCACAAGGGGGCATAAGAGGATAGTTTTCGTTCGCAGGTAAACCATATATAATTTAGCCAAAGCAAATAATAGCACATGTGCATCTCGACTCGACACAAAAAACAGATTTTACAAACATATATCCTTCTAAGCTAGGGATAAACAATTTGATAAAAGTTAAGTCTTTCATCTTTCCTACATGAAAGTCGTGACGTATAAACTAAATGACTTAAAAACTTCATGTGACCACATAACAAAATAAACCGCCAACACACAAAGTCGCAGAAATCGCACTCGCCATTCGCATAAACGTGATTATAACAAAATGTTTAGCATATACCTTTGATGTGGAGAAACTAAAATTTAAACAATAAACCGCACAAGGTTCAGTTCATCTTTCGTTTCAATCATCAACTAATTCTCTTCCTCTTTTTGCCAACAGTTACGAGACAATTGGGTAAACGTTTAATCATGTACAGTAAAAGCCTGTACTGGTGACCACATGTGCGCAAAAACCAACTGGCAATTGTCACATTTTGGTGGCCCGTTGGAACCGTTTACCCACTGACAAAAACAAGAACCCAGTGTACCATATGCATGGCCATTATCTACTGGTCCTAACTATCAAAAACTTTAAAGATCGTATAACCAGATGTTAAGATGCTATTGCCTACATTTGAATGGGATGGCGATGTTTAAACCAATCCAAATCTCCCCTGGTCATTGAAAATCCTGTGTATATATACGGGTACCTTTAGATTCTAATTGTACACCCCTTACGGCCTAACCGCAAGACCATCTTACTGACAACACACGAAACTGTCCTTTGCATGACGCACTCTCCTGTTGAAGTCTTCACCATAAACACCCATGGGGTTGCAATTCCAAGAACTTTAAAACCGTCATAATTGAGCAGAAGTGTTCCTCTGTGTGCTATCGTTGTTATCGTTCCCCAAACACCAGGATTGCACTTCAAACGCAAAAGCAACTAAAACATCAAAGGTTTATGGTAATTTCTTCTTGCTACGAGCATTTTTACTTTCCGGCGTGGGTGCCTTACGTACAACTTCAGGCTTAGTGGTAGCTAACTTTTGTGGAAAGCCGCATCCTTTATGCGAAACTCTGTATGAATTTTAAGTACTTTTGGATAGAAAATCATCATTAGGAATATACAATTTTAAGACGACTAACCATGGCATTTGTTGTAATGTCTGGACACCAAGCAGCATTCTGCCGTACATATGTACTTCCCATCGGAAACCAGGCAAATAAATTGTATGAATAATTTAAAAAGAAGATTCAAGTACGTCAACAAGAGCGTAAACGGAGAACATAACTATGTGAGCACTTCTTTTAACGCCGTGCTAGGGACTTTTGTGAGCTGCGTAAGTTGCAGGCTTGCCAGGTTCTTTAACAGCTAGATTATTGTATTAGATTAGATAGAATGTATTCTCTAGTAGTTGTTAAGACTTTTACGTTATTATTTTATCCATCTATCCTATGTACTATGTTACTCAGTATGATGTACATGTAACACCACACTCTGATGTATGTATTTAGCCCCATGGGCATGAACATGCAAATAAATATTCTATACAAAGATTTTATATCATCTTTTTGTAAAACAGATTATTTGCTATTGGCCAGCAAAGAGTTCTCCATACTAAAAGGCTCTATCTTGTTCCAGGTTGTGCTGTATTCCGGGGCGGTATCCAGGCTTGCCTCAAGGCTTATGAAACAAGAGGAAGGTGGCCGAACAACGAGAGTACATAAGACACCACCAAGAACCCTCATGACCCCAGATAACATTCTGGTCGTCAGAAACAGATACGCTAGTGATCCAAAAGACCTGGAATCTACACTGCCACTCCTGAAGAGCTAAAAGATTGTTTTTATAGCATGGCTAGGTCGTTTCTTGAACAGTAGCAGTTTCTTTCCATCGATGCTGCAGTTATAATTAAGTCCAAGACTAGGGAAGAATGTTGCCAGGAAAAAAAAAGGCTCTACTTAATTTGAGGAAATATATCTTTAGAAGATTTAGGAATAATTCATGTTTCAAGAGGAATATTTGTTTAACCCCGGACGTGTTACCGTAGAGCTTCAGAATGTACATGATGTTGATGAACTTATTAAAGTTTCAACGATTTCTTTATCTGGGATTCATCCACTTGTTGGACGTTGTTTGGTGTCGTTTTCATTGTTTAGTAATTTACACTATAATTTACACGTTAAAAGACAAATACCCTAATAAAAGTGAAATACCCCCTTAACATGTCTTTGGATAAACATACATCATAAGTAGTCATATGTATGTCGAATGTGTCAGATAAAGTCCATCTTCAAATAACTCTAAATGATTCCAAAAATCGTCAATGATTCCAAAATCGACCATTAATTAATCACAATCCTGAGCAACTGCAAACCTCCTTACAAATTAATGTCCCATGGCAAATTACAATCAAACTAACATTAATATAGTAATTCTTTTCTTTAGACAATGGTGATAGTGATTGAAATAGCATAAACCCTATTAATCTTTTTACAACCTTTCCTTTTAATATATCATGTACGTTTTGTGTATAGGGAACTTTGAAAACCGCCAACATGGCGGCATGCTGACCTAAGGCTTGTAAAATGAATAAAAATTATATGAATGAAACAAAAACAAAAAAGATACACAAATACAAGTGTCAAAACTAGCCTACCCCACCTGTTACAGTAAACCACTCCATATAGAGATGGCGTCAGTAACAACCCATGGCCACACGTTTTATCCTTGTGCTGATCCGCACAGGTGGGTGAAACAGATAGACCCCGTGTGGCAGGTCCATTCGTTACCTGTAATCTCCAGAGCACACAATCCTCATTTATGTCTCCCAAACTTCTCAGTAAAAGACAACGTAATGAGCCCGATCGGACCAGTAAACGGTGTTTTCCCGTAGTGGGTGATCTGCGGATTTGTGTAGATTTAGGATGATTGCACAGGGGAGGAACTGGCCCGAATTCGCATGTTTAATTAAAGGAAAGTACGAATGTAATAGTCATCAAGGGACGTAGTCCCTATATAAGGTTTATGAGTTTACCGACAGACTGCCATACTGAGTACCTGGCGGACACAACTTAACAGGACAAACCCATTTTTTACAGTGTAAGGTCTACTAGCTACCGAGTAACCTTCCCGAAACCAAATTGCACTAAACATTGCGAATGTCTTGCTTTGCTAATACACGTACAGGTGTTTCAAAAATATGTAAGTTGCGTTTGGACAGAGGCTGACAAAATGTTCTTTTGTGATTTTGAAGGCCGAGACAGTAGTCAAGAACATGAAATTAAAGGTACCTAGCGCAGTTTTTAGGAAACCCATCATCCCAATGTACATTGACCCTTGTGGAGCAAACATTCCCACAATTCTGACGGAAAATTGTTACTGGAAGGGCCCTGGGTTTAATCTTAGAGTACCACAAGAAATAAAGGACTCATCTTGGGGGTTGTCTCTGCAGTTTTAAAAGCCCAAAATATGAAATACTGACTCAAATGTGCTAATGTGAAGAAGTATGTCAATATCACAAAGATTGCCTTAATCAGAATGTTTCCAGTTTCACTGCCCTGAAATCGCATTGGCCTTTAACTTTTTAAGGCCTGGCTTCCAAGAAGGAAGATGACACACTGTGAGACAATTTGGGACGAAACCTGTTTAACACACAAAAGATCACTGAAGGTGACATCAAAACAAACATGTATGTGTGGGAATAATGCAATTTTTCACATCTGCAGTAGCTTTCCTTTCATCCAAAGTTCACAATATTTGATTAAAACATGCCTCAGGTCAGACGATATTGAATTACGCCTGAGTGGTTGCTGGTAACCATGTTTTCTTCTCTAAATATTATTTGCATATCAAAGACAGAGGTGTCCTTTTGAAACGTTTGTTTCGAATGATTTCAAAGTAATAACCTTCAATGGTCTTCCGATTTCTTGCAGTAACATAGTTTTCTATCCAGCCCACACAAAACTACTTTGCTGCCTGATGACGTTGCTTGCTAAACAACGTTCGTACTACAAAAAACACACATGACGTCCATCTAAATGCGTCTGATGTGTCAGACCTTTTCCTATTCCCTCATGACATCAATGAAAAGCTGTCAGCATCTCATAAATAATAAAGAATGGTTTACACCACGAAACAAAATTTTTGGCGACCTATTTTTATATTTTTACTGATTTACCAAATAAATAAAAACGGGCTGAGGAAAAAAGCCCACAAGGCTTCTGCAATGTCCTCCTCTTCGAAAAATACCAAATGTTAATCATGAAGCTAACAAATGATAACTAATAATAAATAAACTCAAGAACACCTAGATTAAGATAAGACTAGGGTCTGAAATATGAGTGTTAAATAGTTTACACTAGCCATTTTCTTCTCCCAAATTTTGGGTGTTATGCGTAGAAGATACGACCGAAACAACGCGAGCTCCTATCAAAGGAAAATTACCTACAAGCTGAAGACAAGCACGCCACCTGGTGGGCTTGTGCAGTACTGAGCTGCCACATCCGAAGATAGTTTAATCGGGTTGGTAAAGTATTGTGTTCTCGAAGCAAAAGCGCCACCTACATCAGCTGCATATAGCTACAGCTACAGCCGGTTATAGACTTTTCAAAAACAGTTTTACTAGATAGTAGTAGTAACTGTTATAGTTATCTAAACTTTAAGAAGATTTCTTAGTGATGTAATTTACAATTAACAGAATCTGTTGCAACGTATGATTTTCGTGTTAGAATAAGATATACTGCTATGAGGATGGGCCTTGTCCATAGTCCCTGCTAAGGAAGGACATGCAAAAGTTAGTTTTATCAGCTTACTTTGAAGTTTTTTTAGCCACATTTCGCAAGGGCTTTAATGTATGAATCTAACTCCCTGAATGTTCTTTAGACTTTGACGTAGAAGTCCAAATGGAAACATAACGACTTAATATGCAGACCTGATTGCTTGCCAAAGAGCCATGACAGTTCATTCTACTTTCCACATTTTGCTGCACTATCGCGCGACCTTTCAACCAGAGGTCAGCGGGGTTATCGGAAAGGTCATCACCACAGTGACGTACAGGTTCTCGCGAGACCTGGCGAGAGGTGATGGGAACAAGATAAAGATGGATGTTAAACGCCCAGAGGCAAGAACGAAGGCGTTATTATGCCTTAGAAGAAGCCCAGATTCAATTTTGGAACAAAATCTAAGCTGTGTTTGCTGAAAATGAACTCCGAATTGCATGTTATTGTTTTTAATCGATTATATACATGAAAAATAAACTTACGTTGTTTAAACATTTATGTAGTGGGTTGTCACTCTTTACTTAAAATTAACAAGTTGTCAAAGGTTTCAAAGTATAGACCGTGTCATAATTCACTTTACATCTCACTAAAATAGAACCATGCTGATAAAGTCTCCACTATCTAAAAAATTGTTCTACCATGTAGTAGGAAAAGCCTGGAAAAGTTTACCTACAAAAGGCGAAGGTGTGTGCTTAAAATGATACCACTGATTCTTTTATCTCATACTTTTTTTATGTAATACATCTTATCATTTTTTTTTTCATCTCACGTCTATCAGTTCTACTCAATATCTCAACAAAGATCAAAAGGACGGGGTCAGTTGGGGTGGTCCATGTTTCCCTCCCTGCGTGCTACAGCTCACTTACACATACTTATAAAACTTGCCCACTTGCACCCGGCCACTTCCTAGCTGGCCTTGGTGCAGGTAAGACGTCTAGTTTACAGCTATTTGCAAGGTGTTTTATGTAGCAGCATTTTGCTAAGATTTCTGTCCGATATTACGAATCATTTTCACTGTCTTGCACCTTTGTGGCTCTAATTTGTAACAATTCCATACGTATTAGAAACTTGAGACACTTCTTTTAGTAGAATCTTATGATGATCAGTTTTTTCTTCATTGGGCACTTTCTAAGGAGGCTGTCGGAGAAAAAATATTTAACACTATCCTGAAAATTCAACGGCGTTTTTTTTTATTATTGTTAGTACATTTTTTTACCAATAAAACTGTCCGGGAAGAAATATGATCAAGTACATTTAAAGCGAAATCATGATTTCTAATGAATTTGTGTTGTTTGTACAGTAACTGTAGATGTTATTCCTGGCTGTCCCTCATTCTGTGGACGTTTGCTGCTGTGTACTAAACATGGAGGAAGGTTAGTATAAATGTTTAAACATAAGAAATATTAATTCCTCTTGATACAATAATTTACATAGACAGAAAGTGCACTTACTTAGTTTGTAGACGTTGTTTTAGCTAGGAGTATTGATTTATAAATAGGCAGGGCGTACAGCACAAACATGATCGAAATAAACTTCATCTGTGTCTAAAATATTTCTGTAAGTTTTTAGGCAGTAAAGAACAAAAAAATTAAATAACGTATTTAGACTAAAGTAGATATTTTTCAGTAAAACTCACCGTAACGTAAGATTCTCTTCATTAGCCCAAGTTCTGTGCCTTCGTCTATTTTCATCGAAAATAGCCCTACGCTTTGCATTTTACAATGAAGTACTAGTAATCATTATCATTTATCAACAAGGCCTGTATTTGACTTATCAAATATATTTACCACCAGGATCATGTACCTGCCTCCGCGTATATTAAACTTCCCCAAGAAAAATACAATAATCAATACTAGTAGTTATTTTTAATTCGATTTATCCTGATAATAGGCATTAAGATTATTTTAGGATAAATAGATAACCGAGTAATTATTTTCCCGTTTGACCAGCAGATGTTGGCTGGGAAAACATGAATATAACTTACTTTCGACAGCGTTACGTGTACATGGTTAAGTGTTCTAGTCAGGCCTTCCTATGCTATAATTTTGACCCATATGCTGTCTTTTAACCAGCATAGGGACTTTTTGGGAGAGAGAACCTTCATAAATCTTGCAAAAAAAATAAAATATAACTTAAGAATGAAGCTATAGCAAATGAAAAAGCTTAGCTTCACAAAATTAGGTTCCTCATTAAACAAGAACTAACTATTTGCACCACGAAAGTTGCTCTTCTGTACCAGACCCCTATGCTATGAAAAAATCCTGGTGAGAACCCTGATGTTTATTGGCTATAGCTAAGGGCCGTACATTCTAACCCCGTGGCCTTTGGGGGCTCTCAAAACGTGGTAATTTCCCTGGACACGAAATGGACAGTGTTTGATCTCTGCCAGCTTTGCCCCTAGTTAGACTTTTAGAATATATATATATTTTTTTTTTAAAGAACTAAAACTTCTTCGGGAATCATGAATAAAGCCAGAACTGTGTTATGTTGTTGTTATGTTTTTTTTCTGATGACAAGTGGGACATATTTATTCATGAGTTTAGAAGGCGTCTCCTTTCATAAAATTCCTATTATCTATTTCTGAGTGTTGAATTTTAATAGCAAACCGGAACACAATTAAAATCATGTCGCATTTCAGATTTCCCAGAGCGATCGTATTTTTGATTTTGTCCCCGAGCATTCTAAAACACCAGGATCATATTCGATAATACAATAAACATAGTTGAATAACAGTTAAAACATCACTTTAAACCGTATGCCTACTCATCTGCCAGCCTCTACCAAGCATGACAGATAACTATTATGGTTACAAGTTCAAGGTCTATTCGGTAACGCAAAATCATCGTTTCCTGGTTACCAACTTCAGGTTGCGAAGAATCTGGGTTCATCTCGGGACGGGAGAAGCCAAACATAGAGTCACATATGATAAAAGCTACGTTTGACTTGTATTCCCTTCTTTGACTTTAGTTGGAGAAAAGTAAGGTGACAGTTTCTTGTAGTCATATCTTAGTCTCTACCAGGCTTGGGGAGGCGGCTAAAAGGAGTAGCAATCGGCCAAATAGCATGCCGAGGGAGTTGGTCGGCTGGAGAGAACAGTTTGCTGCTCCCGGCATGCTATCTCTCTATTTGGCCGATTTCTATTTGTTTTAGCCGCCTCCCGAAGCCTGGTAGAGGCTACTTATATCTACGAGATGATGTCAATGAATTAGTAAATTTCACAAACTCGTATTTTCAACCAGCTGAAAAAAGGCTTGCCTAACTACAGTGTCCTACCGGTCGTTTTTATTCTCATCATAAGTAGATTCACCTGTATCTAATACACAAAATTGTTATTCTTTCTAAAACCTTTCAGGGCTGTTTCAGGTAATTTGTGATCTTTTGCAATGACGTTTTGCCCCATTATTAATAACAGAACCACACCCACCTAAGCAGACCCGACCGAAAGGCCACACTTGTGATGTTCATTTAGCAAGCGCAAATGACGTCCAGGAAATGGGCAAAATTACATCTGATCGTTTCTGTGATCACAAACCGCCCTGTTAACCAAGTAAGCCCACGCCGTCTTAATTTTATGGATGACATCCTCTGAAGACCCCCAAACTAGAGCGCGCGGGCGAAAAAAAAGAAAAGCCGGCCAAAAATAAAAATGCTACTAAACCACAGTAATACAAAGCCGGTATTGTGAATTTGGCGCATTACATAGCGACGTATACGTGGTGTCTTTTTGCGGAATTTATGAATCGACACTGTACGTGTGTACTGAGTTCTTGAGTAGTGTGGAGCCCCGGTAGCCTGGATGCCATCCTCCAGAGTTACCACCGGCTTCGTTGTCGCTTACTACCCTGGACTACCCAGGCCTAAAGCCAGGCAAGAGCCTCGGAAGACGTGATCTTTTTTTTTTTTTTTTGAGATCAGGCGAAAATCAATGCGCGCGTGGACGTCATCCATAAAATTACGACGGTGTGGCCTAAGCGCCGTGCACGTTGGCAGCAATCTTGAAATAACCGGTAATTGTGCTCCTTTGTTGGGATAACGACGAAATGACACGGTTAGACTATTAGGGACCAGGTTTAAATACAGGCCAGCCGGCCCTGCCAGCGATGTATCAATCCGTACGCAAGCAGGAAAGCAACAAAGTGGCAGAAACGCCGTCGTAATTTGTAGCAATTTTTCTGCGGTTGTAGCAATCGAGGAGAAGACTGAGGCAGTACAGGCAGAAGGCGCAACCAACATGACAGAAGAGAAGGAGCAACAACCCAGAAGCTTCCGCAACCGCATCGCGTCGGACTCGGCTGTGGAGTATCAGTTTGTGAGTGAACTTATCATTCCCCTTTCTCAATATGCTCTTCTTTGCTAGAACTTTGTTTTTGAGCAGTTCTATCAAATTCCTCTGAAGCAGGCTTACAAAACTTGGGGTTTGGTGGTCTTCGGCTGTTTTCTGATTAGCCCAATTCTAAAAAAAAACGGGGGTTATTCATTCAGGCCGGCTATGTTGTCTATATGTAATCAGTAAATAGCACATAAAAGCTCCCGAAGACCCCCAGTTTGTGGCATGCTATGGAGGCTACTAATGCAGTACATTGAGGTATTTTGATGCTCTACATGGTCTGATAATGATATGTTACGGTAAAAGTGCTGTTGGTATCACTATTATATTGGAACATCTGTTTTCGTACTAAACTAACCTACAGAATGCCAATATTGTACATGGAATATGGATAGTCTTCCTTGAATTGGTGTATGGGTTGAGATTGCTGTTCATCGTACGAACATATCACTTATCAGAATGCGCTGTCTGCTCGCTTAATATTTCTGGATATATGAGTGCTGGTTGACGTAGATCTGGTAAACCCTTAACCTATTTCCATGAGGTAACATCTGGTGTTTGTTTGGTTTGTTATCTTTGAAATCTTTTGACACATTAGCGACTCGTTATGTTAAACCACATTTGAAATAACAATGACGACGTTGTTAAAACGGAACCACTGAATGAAAAGAGCAGAACATGGGATATTCATATAGTACTATCATAACTGGGACGCGCTATCTTTGGAAGTCACTTTGTTGTAGTAAGTTTTCAAAATAGTTACGCTTTCAACACATTGCTTTTAGCAGTTCGACAGTGTGCTTTGTTACAAAGATATATATATAACCAATCCAAGATTGCCAGAGACAAAAAAAAAAGAAATTGCCTAGAAATAGCAATGCCACTGGAAAAATTGTATGAAACACTTTTGCTGCATCAGTTAGATTTTGCTCGTGCATGCACTGTTGAGCTCCATTAGAAATATTGTATTAGAAATATTATAAACTCAGAGTTTATCAGATGCCGTTACTGTTTTATCTATAATTTTTGTTGATCAAAACTGCCTGGTACATAGTTGCATATTAACCCCATAAGTCATTATCGGGCACGTTACAGTAAAATTGGCAATACCAGAGTGCCAAAAATTACTTACTAATATGTTATTGCTTAAACAAATTGCTTCAGAAAAATTCTATAAAATATCGTCTATTTTAGAAATGTAACATCAGATGCAGAAGACCCTAAAATTGCGATAAACGTTGATCATCAGATGACGCTACTGTTTCATCTGCAATTTTTGTAGATCAAAACGGCCTGGTATATATTGTGGTATAACCAACAAAATCGTAATGGGGCACCCTAGAATGACGTCCAATATCGAAAATTACATGTCATCAGAGAATTCCCGGAACCCTGAGCCGTTGCCACGCGACAGGGCAATGTAGCAAAACAGTGACATGTAGCTGGTTTAATGAACGGTTTCAGCACCAAACCGTCAATTTCCTATGTAATTACGCTACTCTCTTGTTTTCTATCTTGTCATAGAAATGGATTATTGCTCGACTGCTTGTTGACTGGGTGGCGTTGAGAAATTCATTTGTGTAACTTTCTTTATAATTGTTACAAATTACATGATACGTACGTACACCACACTCCAAAAGCAAAGGAAACAAAACTTGCCAAGTTGACATTTTCATGTAGAATTACAGCTAGGTTATCCGTTTCCTCTCTTCAAAATCACCTATAGGCCACGGACAAGTTCAAGCTAATTTATTTTACCAGGGCATACCTCAGATCCGTTGCCCTATTTTTCAGGTATCCCTGGGCACATACATTGATTCCTAAAAATTGCAACTTGAACACAACATTATACAAATAATGTTACAAACATGTACATGTACAACGCAGTAACAGTATAGGCACATTTAGTTCATAATATGTATACATATGTGTGCAGAAATTTTCCTCGCATCCCTAAAATAGCGTGAGAGTAACACCTACATGTAACCTGATATTATGACATGGAGCCATGCTCTCTGATCCTTTCAACCTAATATCCTTACATTATCCCTAATCTCGGGCTGCATGAACCAATTCAAAGCGTTTTGCCCATGAAAGGTGTAGGTGTTGATAACTGAAGGTCTCTTTAAGTAAAAACTTTTTCAGGAATGATTAGATGAAAAAAGTTTTCCAAAAACCCGACTGATCTTGAGGAATTCAAATGGCATAACATAGGCAATATTGATTTAATCTAATGATAATGCTGTAAGTGGAAGTGTGTTTCCATGAACATTTCTCTCGAAGTGATATATTTTTCTTTCTCCTCAAGAAAACATACAATAGGTTAGCTTTCATTTTGGTAAAATTTAATTTAGTACAGATAGTATCATTAAGGATTTGTTCTGTTAGAATTCTATTTTTAAATTAGTATAGTTAATCTATCAACTCTTCTCTTCTTTGTCATCCATTGTACCAGTTACAGTTGTTGAGCAATAAAGTTGATTTGACGGTTTTCCTCTCCACGTTCAGACAAACGGGTACCATGGCCGTCGGCGAAGCCTCATTGACGACGCACGCGCGGAGAAGGAGCTTTGCCGTGCCACAGGTAATAAAATAATAATGATAAAGACCTTTATTGTACATTTTGCTCATTGCGAACTAAGTACAGGTCACGGCAAATGGCGATGGTAGACTAATAATATATCTATAGTAAAACTATATATGTACAGGTTCTGCTTCTTCTCGCTTCTCTTTGCAATTCATGGAGTCTTATCCCTGCTATACGCTTTACTTTTTGGTGTTACGAATAAAGACTTGAAAAATTTAAACACCACCCCAGGGCGGCGGCTGTCGAATGCATGGCGGCAGCTCAGTCTATCCGAGGATGACGAAGACCTGGAGGTGTTGGACAATGTTGAGGACAACGACGTTCCCGTGAAGGCCGCCATCGTCTTCTCACCGAACGACGGCTTCGACAGACTGCCCGCCATCTTGGATGCGTTCAAGGTCATTACATTAAAAGAAATCATCATTTTATAATTCCTACTTAAAATTGGCTCCCCACTATATCTCGGATGCGTTCAAGTTCATTACATTAAAATCAAATGAGCATTTAAGAATTTCTAATTAGAATTGCATTAAAATTTCATTTCTTATTTTTTTGGTTTCTCACAAACTCAAACACACATTGACAGGAATTTAGGGCATGCCCTAAATGGCGTTTGTCACATGCACATCAATATTTTCTCACATAGACATATGACAATTAATATAATAACAGCTGTAAGTACAAAACAATACCATTCACTGAAATAAAACAATACATAACAGGAACCCCGTGGCCGCTAGACACTGAGAAATTGTTTGATGGCTGAATGTGAGAATGACTGAAAGATCCAGACTTGTCATAATGGCAAAGCTGCTTACTGGGGTGATTTTAAAGTTATAGTGGGGTACAAAGTGAACACGATTTTTTTTTCCAAATTTGGGATACACGATGTCAATAATCGGGTTTCAGAGATATCACGTGACGATTCACCACATCGAGTCCCGCCCTCCCCAAGATGGCGGTGATGACGTCAGCTTCCTGGTTCGATGCGAGCGCGACCAGGGAAGGGGCAACATCCCCGGCCTGGTCATCTCACTCAAGAGAAGGGTCAAAAGTCTGCAGCTCTTCCACGAAAATGGGGTCGACATGGACGGTAGGACGCCTTTAACATGTGAAGAACTGTTTCTAAGTTTTAATTAAAGTTCGTCGGTTTGTTGGGTCAAAAGTCTGCAACTCTTCCAAAAAAATTGGGTCGACATGGATGGTATGGCGTCGTTTACATGTGCAGAACTGGTCACAATATTGTCCTTCTTTCGCAGAAGGAAAACATAGTTTCTGCTCTGTTTCTTCTTCCTCTTCTTCTTCTCCAAACAAATAAGGTCAATGACCTGAACCAGACGTCTGTCACTATGGTACCTAGTGCTGGGTTACATCATGTTGCAATTTTATATTTAATGAATAATTAACAGAATAGACCATATGCGAAGGTAAAAGAAACAAGCACACTATATTCAAACTGTACAATTCGTGGCCCTACGAGACCAAGGAATGTCACCTACATTTAATACAGCAAAACAACACATTAGCAAAGGGGGAGAAAATCATCTGAATTAGTTAGCAATTATTACTCTGATCTTGGGCTTGTGTTTTGGCTAATTTTCTAATCCACGCCCCATGTAGGTCCCTGGTTCCCGAAGGTAATCTCGGACCTGGACAAGTGCCATCATCTGGTCACTAAGTTTGAACCTGAGCTGGATGCAGATCATCCGGTTAGTACTTAATGTTTGTTTTCATAACATATTCATAGTACTATATATATGCATGATATACTCTGACGGCTACAACCTAAGCACATTTTGGAGGAATTACGTTAATCTAGTTTTAAGTAGTTTATTCTTTTTAGGTCTAGCTTTATTATCGTGGTATTAGTTACTGTATTTGTTACCACGCCTCCGTCTTTTGTCTATCTGTTCTTGGTGTTATATGGGCCAGGGGCCTGAATTAAAGAATAAATAAAATGAAAAGAAGTATAGTTTAGCCTTTACCTTTACATATTGAGTTATCACTTACCCCTTACAGTTATATATATATTATATTGCTGGCAATGAAAATTTCTTATTCACCCAGGTGGTCTAGGTCCCATCTAGTATATAAGGTCTCATTTTTATCTAATATATCACCGACAAACGTGGTTGAAACTGACTCAAGCAGCTTGTAGGTAGTACATAGGAGTGCTGTAATCTGTTCATGATTTAGACCCACAGTTTTCTTCTGACGGTGTGAAAAAAAATATAGATGTAGAGGCGGTAATATAAGAAAAGAGGACATTACATAAATAAATGCTTTAGTATGATTCCTTGGGTAGATGGTATATTGTACATTTTGATTTTCCAGGGTTTCTCGGACAAAGTGTACCTTGCTCGCAGAAAGAAAATCGCGGAAGCTGCTTTCGAATACAAACAGTAAGTGTAATGTCACGATTACGTCATGTCTACACTCACCACATCCGGTGACGCCAGTACCACCGGCTTGTACTTTTAGTGATGTTTTGTTATTTTTTAAAAAAGGTCATGAAACAAAAATGATACACCTACATACTGCCTTATGTAATTTTTGTAATTCTAACTCTGAAACAAATGAAAAAATATGCTCTACATTTCTATCTATGTATCTATCTATGTATCTATCTATCTATGTATCTATCTATCTATCTATCTATCTTTCTATCTATCTATCTATGTATCTATCTATCTATCTATCTTAGGTATCTATCTATCTATCTATCTATCTATCTATAAGTAGTTACATGATATAACTTTTTCCCTGTAGTGGCCAGCCATTGCCGGTAATAGACTACACAGAAGAGGAAACAACAACTTGGTAAGTTGGACTATCAGAGCCTAGTGTGACTATATGATGAAAAATATGTGTTAGATGGTTAACATCTTCTACGTATCAACCATAAACTATGCATGGTAAATAATAGTGAAGACGGAAATATATATATTTCACTGTGTTCTGCATCTGTAGTTGTAGAAACTTCCCTAAGCTACACACAGCTACATACATGTAACTAGTACCATCTTTCAACTCACTTATTTGCATATATATACAGCTAATAATAGTATGTAACTAATACCATCTTTCAACTCACTGTTTCTCAAGGGGGATTGTCTACCAGTCCCTTACATCTCTATACCAAAGTCATGCCTGCAAAGAGCACATGGAGGGCCTCAAACTGCTAGAAAAGCATTGCGGATACAGGTCAGAAGGAGCAATATGTGTATCAAAATCAGTTTGTGTTTAGATAATATGTAATGTTCGCATGTTTCATATTTGGTGTACTGGTATTTGTAGATTATCAAATACCTATGTAAAGTTGTTAATTTTGAGCTGGAAATTCTCATTTTTTTGTAATTTAAATTCGTAAATATTCAACAACCTGCCCTAAGCTTAAAATGGCATATGTATTTCTTCCTTCTTCCTTTTCTTGGGCCACAGTGCGGATCTGGTTCCTCAGCTAGGGGCGGTGTCCAACTTTCTGAAAGGTAGTGGCATCCATTATTATGTTTACCGAAGGAAAACATATTGTTTTTGCCCAGTTTCTTCTTCTTCTCCAAACAGTGACCAATGACCTGAATCTGAATTATATCCGCCATTGTTAACTGTTCCTGTATTGTTTATCACCCTGTTATGAGGGCTAGCTCTTTATAATAGCCTTCGACTAGTTGGGCAGTCCTAGCTGTTTATTTCTTTTTTACAGTTTGATAAATCAAATGAAATCAAATATTTTTTTTTTATTTATTTCTTTCCAGAGAGAACAGGCTGGCAGCTGCGTCCCGTGGCAGGTCTTGTCTCTGCGCGAGACTTCCTTGCCAGTCTCGCTTTCCGCGTGTTCCAGTGTACCCAGTACCTGAGACATGGCTCCTCGCCGCACCACTCTCCAGAACCGTTAGTATTTACTCACAAATATGCAGAGTCTGTTTACCCATAGAAAAACCGCGTGTTCAAGTGTAGCCCGTCCCTCAGTAAGACACCTGGAGCCCCATAACTCCCGTTTAGAACTTTTATTCAGCCTGTCAAAAGACCGGTTTCGCCTGTGTGGCTTCTTCAAGTGTACAGAGGCTAATGACACAAGTGCATGAAGTTCTCACTTATATACCTTTCCGGTGCAAAGTGCCCTCAGGTCAGTTACACGGCGTTCAGATCGCCCTGGCCTGTTACATAAGTTCGTTCTGACAGATGAACAGAGTCTATTTATCCATAGGAAAACCGCGTTGTTCAGTGTACCCCGTACCTCAGACACGGGTCCTCATATGCCATCACCGCACCAGTCCCCCGAACCGTTAGTATTTACCCACAGATAAACAGGCAGGAGTAGAATTTGGAATAAAAATACGCTTACTTTATACTAAACTACGTAATACAAAAGTTCATTCAAACTTTTTACCATCTATTTTTCTACTCTATCATTCCTGAACATGCAATAACAAAGAACTACTGTTTTTTGCCGACAGACTTGTAATATATTATATTACGTATGTACAATATTTAAAGACACATAGAAAATACTATGTAGATTATACAGTAAAAGAAGCTCATTTGAAGTTTCCAACAGAACATCGCATCTTTTCACCACAGAGATTGCTGTCACGAACTCCTTGGCCATGTGCCCATGCTGTCAGACCCCAGTTTCGCACAGTTTTCACAGGTGAAACATCGTTGTTATATATGCATTGCATCACAAATAGCTATTTACCGAGTTTTTAAATGGATGCGATCATAGGCACGTACATGCGTTAAGGTGCATGTAAGTGCTATTCTATTGTGTCTTTGTGATTTTTCTATGGAAAAAAAGAAATACATAGAAAGATGAATACATCTTTAAACAAATGTACGGTGTCTCCCATCTTCCAGGAGATAGGTTTGCTGTCTCTCGGTGCTTCTGACGAAGACATAGAGAAACTTGCCACGGTAAGCCACAATTTGTTTTACTGTATGTAGCCTTGTCTTATAACATGCTGGACCCCCTTGGAAAACAGCTATTATAGGCTCAATGGGGCCATCCATAATGGCAAGAATTGTTTTATTGCAAATTGCAGGAACAGAAGAAACATATGGTATAAGAACAGACTATAAGTACACATAGAACTACTGATAACTACTACGAAACTACTAGTAAAAACTACTAATGAATAAATGGGACCTTTCTTCGTGGACATGCTGGCGGTACACACTTCATATATACCATACATTGTTGATTAGTTTCTTGTTATATTATACACAATATCATGTTAAATCAAGGCTTACGTTACATTTTGCAATATTTTTCAGTGCTACTGGTTCACGGTTGAGTTTGGTCTGTGCAGACAGGACAACAAGTTGAAGGCGTATGGCGCTGGGCTTCTTTCTTCCTATGGAGAGCTAGAGGTACATTTTATCACTTTTAGTTTTTAGATAGATGAACATATCAGGTCATCCCATGCATGTGCTGTATTAAATAGTTTTGAAGTATTTTTCCCATTGTAAAAGTGGCTTCCAGAATATAAGTTGTACCTAACTTGAGTTCGCAGCCACTTAGCCCGTGTCCTTTCATTTGTATTTTTATCAGTATGTATCTGAAAAAAAAATAGTTGTCTTGTAGAAACAAGAACAACACATATGTATATGTATGAATTGTGCCCTATAAGTGTAAAAAAATAGCAAAACAGTATCATATGTTTTTCTTCGGTACAAAAGTAAAAAGGTTTCTGAATCACATTATGTTAATTTGTCCTGCTAGTATGCCTTGTCTGGCAAACCGGAAATCAAGGACTTTGAACCGGAAGTGACGGCAGTTGAACCATACGATGACGTCAACTACCAGACTGTCTACTTTGTCTCTGACACCTTCGACAGGGCCAAGGAACAGCTAAGGTGACAATTAATAAAAAAGTCTTCTCTACCCGAAGCTCTCTCTGTATAATACGTTTTTTTTTATTTCGAACTTTAAAGCAAATATGTCTTTATTGGAGCTTCCATTAGTGACGTTGTCATGTAACTTCATTGCAAAAGCAATTTGTACTCTGTGATGCCCTGTGTTTGAACTATTGGGACAACGTAAAAAGCAGTAAAAATACAAGTATGGTCATAATAATATTACTGGTACCACGAAACCAAATGACTTCAGAAGTTAATTCTGTATTTTTACTCTGTTCAAGTCTAAGGTCAACAAACATCTGTCCACACTGGATGTTCTGTAACACAAAACATTTTAAGTGGCTCCTATGAGCCTTGTTTTGTGGTGACCGATGAAATAATATTTTTGTTATCACTATTCCAGATCGTATGCCTCAAAAATACGGCGGCCATTCGAAGTGACCTATGACCCTTACACGCAGTCCGTCGAGGTTCTGGACTCTCGCGAGAAGTTACAGCGTCTGTCCGAGAAGATAAAGGGTGACGTCATCCTGCTGAACACTGCCATGAAGAAAATCATCAACTAGACAAAACTGTAAAGCTGTAGCCACTACACTTAGGGTTCTCATCAACTTAATATCCAGGCAAATGCATATTGAAGGGACCACAAAAAGGGGTTTCAATGGTCATGTGGTTCTTTTGTAGAGGTGTTAACTAGTATATCTTTCAATGACATAGTTGATCCTAGAGCTGAAAGGGTCAAGATTTGTAGATAGGTAAACAAAAAAAATCAAGTTTAAAGGAAAGGCTGTAATGTGGCATCATTTCGTTAGACGTCAGATAGCTGTGTTATAGCCTGCTTATATATTGTTTATATAACACAGTCAAATTGTACGTATAACGTAAAATAATAAAATGCTCATAGATGTATGTAAAAGAGGTGTAAAAGTGTGTTAGCTAGCGGTGACTGGTTGCAGTTCAGTGAAATGACAAAGGTATCGTCCACCTACATTGTTGTACGTAGGGTAAACAAAGACCAACAGTCTGACCGTGTATGACTGAAGAAATGGTTAGAAAATTAAGATATAACTGCAGACATGAAGTATAATTGCTTTCTTTCAATCGCGTATTTTTTTCCATTCTAGCAACATCATGCAGTTTATAAAATCTAGCTAGGTGGCGCTTTTTTCTGAGTTCGCTGGAGTCAACAGTGACATCTGCTAATATTATGCAGCTAGACTACTGGGAGAATATTATTTCCCGTGATCATGCTGTTATTTGTTATGTCTGGTATGCCTAATATTTAGTACTCTCATTACTAGTACTTTATGTTTTCCTTGTGCTCTACATCCATGAAGAGAACTTAATAAATGGACAGGCTTTTAATTGCATATTTTTTGTTTTATTTCCTGCGCATTACAACACAACAAAAAGCTTCTTAAAACATGAGTAAAGACAATCTAATATTCTTATGTATTTCTTAGTTCAGATCAATACTCTATTAACATAGACGCCCACGTGCACCGGATACACATACCAAGTCAAATTAAGTGGGTCTTAAGGCTCTAGGATAACTATAACGACAACACAGTGACCCAAACTATGGACCAAGTATTCGAGACACAAAGCAATGTACAATTGAGAGTCAGTTCACAGCTTTAAGTTCAAATAATGACATATATCTAAGATGAAAATATATATGCTACAACTATCGTCTTTTAAAAGTTACCAGCAGAGACAGTATTACTAATAGTTTTTTTTTGCACCCTTGCAAGTGCCGAAGGCGCGACCAACGTATGGGGTATAGAGGCATGCTCCCCGGAAGAAAAATCAAATGTTACCCTCTATTAAATGCGTAATTTTTGGTACACCAAAATGTCAATTGTCTATTAAGTAGACGAAATATTTGTCACCATCACAATCTATTCGACATAATTTTTATGAGCTAACGACCGACCACAATGCCACTGTGACTGGAGACTAGACATATAGAGGAACATTTAACATCTAAAAGTTTCATTTATTTGTTACGTGGCTTCTATAACGCTGCAGAAGTAGGCAAAGGTACGTTTGAATCCACTGTTGAGTGAAGATCACGCCAGGATTTGCAGATACCAAGGTGACTGACGCTGGAATCACAGCAACTGAAAATATACGAGAAGTTATAAAAGAGAATCGTTTTAAGTACTAGTAATTATTACAACATACAATTCCTCTGTTACATTTTTAATGTCAAAGCATGACAGAACACATACACTACATACGCCACGGTGATTATATTTATATATAAACTAAGACATAAGCTCAAATGTTCCATATTTCAACACAAATTACCAAAGATAAAACAGCACAAATGGACAGCAAAAGACTACGTCAAAAATACGCATGTTAAAAAGAAGAAAAAAAGAAAAACTACATTTCCCACTGCCTCCTTGTTACCCCCATCGCAGTGGCCGCAAAGGAAACCAGACTTCTCTGTTGCTGCGTACGTTCCGCTGCGCTATGGCCATCTAGAATATGGTTTAAAAATGCATGCCAAAGAAAATGATGAATAAAAAGATGCGCTATGGCCACCTAGAATATGGTTTAAAAAAAGCATACCAAAGAAAATGATGAATAAATACATAGCCTGTGTTACACAATCTTGAGCTCGCTGCCAGGGGCTGATTTGGCCTTTGGCCATACACCTCTAACTTGATAGGACCATTCCTAGAAGTAAGTATTGGATTTTCATCACTATAAAATGAGCCTGGTGAGAGTTCAGAAATTATGAATCAACACTAATATAAGATGCCCTATGTTCTCTTCATCAAGCGTCTAGGTGCATGGCCAGTGGAAATTGGCCCACTATAGGCATGATGTAGCTACAAAAAATAGGCTACAAAAAATAAATGATAATCACAAAATTCAAAACATCTACGCTTTATTCACATGCACTTCACCAGATATACGCAAACTGAAATAGCACTATTTTCGACAGTGACTATATATACAACACACGTCAAAAATGTAATCAACTGGAAAAAAAACAAGGATCCTAGATTCAGCCCTCGTATCAGTTTCAGTTTCAGTTTATTGAGATACCCTTTAGCCCATTATGGGCTATTCTTCCAGGGTTCCAATACATGTAACATCACATTTACAAACACAATCGTACATATTTACACTTAACATACAGCATAAATCATTTAAAAACAGAGGGGATTACACGTCACATAAAAAACCTTAACTATTTACATGGCAATCATTAAAAAAATATGAATTCTACCTTGAAGATAACTGACTTTTACACTTTGTATGAATTGCACCACCCTGTTGGTAAAGTATTTGACATGGGAGATTTACATCTGTAGGTAGAGATGGCTTTTTCCACACAAAATCGATAGGGCCGGTCACGACTACTCAGAAAGGACCAAGAGGAGCTCATTGATCTACGAAAGGTCAGCACTTCGGACAAGAGGATAAAAGCCGTCCAACCGCTATGATTGCCGTGGAGAGGCTTCCCAACACGCAGGGTTGATGAGTTTGAACCTCCTTGCATTGCCTCAAGGCAAAGTTATACTGTACTTTGTATTTATGCATTTATGTGTCAGTGGTAGCCACTACCAGCCTTGTTGCTGCCTGGTTGCCACTTGTTATGCACTGTTGCATTTAAATAAACAATCACAAACAACAATCAACAAAAGCTATGATAACTACATTCATCTGAGTGTGTGTTTTTTTCAAGTAACTATACAGTTAAAACCTTTCTCCGACATGGTAGGAAAGATATTATGGAGGGCTTGCATGGGGGGAGCTCTACGCTAAATTTTGCTGAACGTATACGCTTTACGTTGAATTTATGGAAGCATCTCTACGCTCTACGCTAGATTCAAAAGACTAAATTACTCTCTAGGCATAGTCCCCGTCGTCAGGGGTTGAACCGTTCCAACAGATTGGACAGATGAAAAAATATCCCTAGCTACCATACCCCGAGTCCCCATTCAACTAAGCTCTACCAGTCCTAAAGACTGGGAGCTGTAAGAATAACCGTAACTACCATACCCCGAGTCCCCATCTAACTAAGCTCTACCAGTCCAAGAGACTGGGAGCTGTGAGAATATCCCTGACTACCATACCCCGAGTCCCCATCTAACTAAGCTCTACCAGTCATAAAGACTGGGAGCTATGAGAATATCCCTGACTACCCTACCCCGAATCCCCTTCTAAGCTCTATCAGTCCCAGAGACTGGGAGCTGTGGGAATATCCCTGACTGCCATACCCCGAGTCCCCATCTAACTAAGCTCTACCAGTCCTAAAGACTGGGAGCTGTGAGAATAACCCTGACGACCATACCCCGAGTCTCCATCTAACTAAGCTCTACCAGTTCCAGAGACTGAGAGCTGTGAGAATATCCCTGGCTATCATACCCCGAATCCAATCTGTGTAAGTAGAGTTAGGGGCCATAGCCATAGTCAAAGCACGGAGGAGGAAGCAGCCATAGTCCTTGGCCTTCAAAAAAAGGATGGAGGAGAAAGCAGCCATAGTGCTTGGCCTTCAAAAAAAGGATGGAGGAGAAAGCAGCCATAGTCCTTGGCATGCAAGGAAAGTATGGAGGATGGAGCAGCCATAGTCCTTGGCCTGTAAGGAAAGGAGGGAGAGAGAAGCAGCCATAGTGCTTGGCCTGCAAGAAAGGATGGAGGAGGAACCAGCCATAGTCCTTGGCCTGCAAGGAAAGGATGGAGGAGGAATTCGAAGCAGCCATAGTCCTTGGCCTGCAAGAAAGGATGGAGGAGGAACCAGCCATAGTCCTTGGCCTGTAAGGAAAGGATGGAGGGAGAAGCAGCCATAGTGCTTGGCATGCAAAGAAAGGATGGAGGAGGAAACAGACATAGTCCTTGGCCTACAAGGAAAGGATGGAGGGAGAAACAGCCATAGTCATTGGCCTAGAAGAAAGGATGGAGGAGAAAGCAGCCATAGTCCTTGGCCTACAAGAAAAGATGGAGGAGGAAACAGCCATAGTGGTTGGCCTGCAAGGAAAAGATGGAGGAGGAATCAGCCATAGTCCCTGGCCTAGTAGAAAGGCTAGAGGAGAAAGCAGCCATAGTGCTTGGCCTGCAAGGAAAGGATGGAGGAGGAATCAGCCATAGTCCTTGGCCTGCAAGAAAGGATGGAGGAGGAAGTAGCCATAGTCCTTGGCCTGCAAGGAAAGGATGGAGGAAGAAGCAGCCATAGTCCCTGGCCTGGAAGGTAAGGATGGAGGAGGGAGCAGCCATAGTCCTTGGCCTGCAAGAAAGGATGGAGGATGAAGCAGCCATAGTGCTTGGCGTGTAAGAAAGGATGGAGGGAGAAGCAGCCATAGTCCTTGGCCTGTAAGAAAGGATGGAGGAGGAATCAGCCATAGTCCTTGCCCCGCAAGGAAAGGATGGAGGAGGGAGCAGCCATAGTCCTTGGCCTGCAAGGAAAGGATGGAGGAGGAATCAGCCATAGTCCTTCGCCTGCAAGAAAGGATGGAGGGAGAAGCAGCCATAGTCCTTGGCCTGCAAAGGAAAGGATGGAGGATGAAGCAGCCATAGTGCTTGGCCTTCAAGAGAGGAGGAATCAGCCATAGTTTTTCGCCAGCAAGGAAAGGATGGAGGAGGAATCAGCCATAGTGCTTGGCCTGCAAGGAAAGGATGGAGGAGGAATTCGAAGCAGCCATAGTCCTTGGCCTGCAAGAAAGGATGGAGGAGGAATCAGCCATAGTCCCTGGCCTAGCACCAAGAAAGGATGGATGAGGAAGCCATAGTCCTTGGCCTGCAAGGAAAGGATGGAGGGAGAAGTAGCCATAGTGCTTGGCAGGTAAGAAAGGATGGAGGAGGAAACAGCCATATAAAGTCCTTGGCCTGGAAGAAAGGATGGAGAAGGAATCAGCCATAGTCCTTGGCCTGCAAGGAAAGGATGGAGGAGAAAGCAGCCATAGTCCTTGGCCTGCAAGAAAGGATGGAGGGAGAAGCAGCAATAGTGCTTGGCATGTAAGAAAGGATGGAGGGAGAAAGCAGCCATAGTGCTTGGCAGGTAAGAAAGTATGGAGGAGGAACCAGCCATAGTCCTTGGCCTGCAAGGAAAGGATGGAGGAGGAAACAGCCATAGTGCTTGGCCTGAAAGGAAAGGATGGAGGAGAAAGCAGCCATAGTCCTCGGCCTGAAAGGAAAGGATGGAGGAGAAAGCAGCATTAGTCCTTGGCCTGCAAGGAAAAGATGGAGGAGGAACCAGCCATAGTTCCTAGCCTAGAAGAAAGGATGGAGGAGAAAGCAGCATTAGTCCCTGGCCTGCAAGAAAGGATGGAGGAGGAATCAGCCATAGTCCCTGGCCTAGAAGAAAGGATGGAGGAAGAAGCAGCCATAGTCCCTGGCCTAGAAGAAAGGATGGAGGGAGAAGCAGTCATAGTCCTTGGCCTGTAAGAAAGGGTGGAGGAGGAAGCAGCCATAGTCCCTGGCCTGCAAGAAAAAGATGGGGGATAAAGCAGCCATAGTCCTTGGCCTACAAGAAAGGATGGAGAAGGAAACAGCCATAGTCCTTGGCCTAGAAGAAAGGATTGATGAGGAAGCCATAGTGCTTGGCATGTAAGGAAAGGATGGAGGAGGAATCAGCGATAGTGCTTGGCCTGCAAGAAAGGATGGAGGAGGAATCAGCCATAGTGCTTGGCGTGTAAGAAAGGATGGAGGGAGAAGCAGCCATAGTCCTTGGCCTGTAAGAAAGGGTGGAGAAGGAATCAGCCATAGTGCTTGGCCTGCAAGATAAGAAAAGATGGAAGAAGAAGCAGCCATAATGCTTGGCCTGCAAGGAAAGGATGAAGGAGGAACTCCCCTGGCAAACATATAGATTAGTGTATATGTGCGTGTATAAAGCTGTGCCAGCCCCATCTGTGCCAGGCACAGTCCCTGGAGTTAGGGTTCCCAGAGACTGGAGAACTAAAAGACTATCCCTGACTTCCATACCCCGAGTCCCCATCTAACTAAGCTGTACCAGTCCCATCTGTGCCAGGCACAGTCCCTGAAGTTAGGGTTTCCAAGAGACTGGACAGCTGACGAAATATCGACTCCACAAGTTAGGAAACTATTTTACCCCACTAGTTTCAATTCAAAACGCCGACCATATTAACCTACGGCGCAACAGAACCCACAAGAAGAAACCTGCGACGAACTAGTTAACCGAAATCGCGACATAACGAAGCAAAACAAGACAAACTTAGTGACAACCCGTTCGCCAGAAGAAGCTTGCAGTAATGGCACCGATCCTAGACGGCCGGAGTGTTCTTGCAATGCCTCATATCAATCCGCAACAACATCTGAGGTAAATCAAACTCAAACGTCAGTAATAAACGAGTTTTCACTTTACCTCTTTCTACAAACTTAAATGTAAATGAAAGGTGAATGAAAATAATTGATTTCTGAATATTTTGGAACGTTTAAGTTGTAACAGAAAGTTGGCAGTAGTGAGTACTATTTTCTGTCGGCAAATGAAGACTGTCTGGCAAGGGCGGTGATACGCCCAGTGTCAGGTTTCACGCCAGGCAGCGTTTTCCCGCGCTTGTGTGGGAACGCCTGATTGGCCAAAGTGTCTCTGATCGGCGGATCCTGTTGAAAGGTGATTAGGCCTAAGGTTCCTTCGTTGGTACGGATTTGAATATTGCAGGATTCTCTTTTTGTCACTAATAAACGAGTTTTAACTTTACCTCTTTCTACAAACTTAGAAGGTAAATAAAAATATTTGATTTCTGAATATTTTGGAACGTTTAAGTTGTAACAGAAAGTTGGCAGTAGTGAGGTACTATTTTCTGTCGCCAATAGAAGACTGTCGGCCCGGAACGGTAATACGGTCGGTGTCAGGTTTCTCGCCAGGCAGTGTTTTCCAGCGCCCGTGTGCGAACGCGGCCAAAGTGTCTCTGGCGAATTGTGTTAAAAGGCCAGGGTTCCTTTGTACAGATTTCAATTGCAGGATTCTCTTTGCTTATAGAAAGTGTGCGAGTTCTTGCCACTTGTTTGTAATATCTGTTGTGTACAGATTTAATGTCAGAGGGAGGAATTTACTCCTTTGAATATTTTGGAACGTTTTAATAAGTTGTAACATAGATTTGGCAGTAGTGGGGTACTATTTTCTGTACGGTAATACGGTCGGTGTCAGGTTTCCCATTTTCCCGCGCCCGACTGATTGGCGGATTTGTTTTGCTTAGAACAGAATACGCAGGGCACGGTGAAATCGGGAGCGATGTTGAAGACGCAATTTTTTTTCCGCGATATCTCAATGGTTGGGAGAGTGACACACACACATAGGTATGATGTTTAAAACAGGCTGCAAGATGCACTTAATGATTAACGTAAATACCGAATGTCTGGTTGTGGATTTATCATTCAATCTTGCCTGTGCATAAAAGTGTCGGATTAAGGTTTAAACTGCTGTTAAGGATCGAAATGAGAGGTGAAACTGCGTGTGTCTTTTGTCATGTCATTCTGTATCGTATGTGGTATCGTAATATTACTGTATAGTTTGTCGTTAATCGTCCTTTGTATACCCAGCATTGCCTGGAAAACAGGTTGCTATGTACCTTACTGCTGGAGAAATGAATAAACTGGAACTAAAAATGTTGAGTTTTTTTTTTTTTCGTTTGGCACTAGATAGAATTAAATGAGTCATTTCATAATGGGTCGCCGTGCCCAAAAATAACACAATCGGAAACGTTTTTCTGATAATTGCAAATTGCCATGAATCATAGTTACTGACGTCAGAGCAACGATTTTCAAAGACAAAGATGCCTTTAATCATAACAAAATGATAGAAAATTTGATCATTATTTCCTTTATTCCAATCATTGCCGTTTTAGGGTGTTTAGACGGTTGGAAAATTGAAATTTTCGCTGTTGATAACAGCTTGGACATAGTGTAATCAAAATTGTTCTTGTTCGTTCTTGTTTGAGAGCTTTTCAGTGTATCAATGTGTTCTCTTATAGATCGCATCATTACACATTTCTTTAACAGTAACAACGTCTTTCAGAGGACTGTAAGTTTATAGCAATATCTTCTATGTGTTAACCATTGAAATACAACCCATGGACCTTCAAAACCAACCTAGAAGTGCAACAAACCTAGGCCTTGCACTGAGAAGACAACTCAAATTATATTTTAAAAAGAACATAGCGTGTAAAGAACTACAGCATCCAATAAAAACACAGGCACGTTTATTATTTTATTGCGTATGGCTATTGGCTAATCTCAAAGCAGAGGTTTGGGTTTGGAGTTATTTTTGGCGTGTTTTAGGCTATTTTTATCGGGGTTTCTTTTTTTTGCACTGGATTTTTTTGGGGTGAAATATAATTCCAGTGCAAAAAAAGAAACCCCTATAAAAGGACCTAAAATAACTCGAAAGATAACCCCAAACCTCTGCTTGGAGAGTATATTATAGCCACTTCGCAGGCTTTAAGAAAATAAATGGACGTGGTTTCCAATTCCTGAAAACTGCACTGGATATTTAAGAAAAAATGAACGTGTTTTCACCTCACACGCCCCTTTAGGATAGGCCCTCATGTCGCAGACGGTCCCCGCGGGACACTCGCAGACTCTCCGGGGGATGAAGTGGCGCCACACCGGAAGTGCTTCCTGGCACACGTTTTCTACTTCCAGGTCACACTACAAGGAAATAAAGAGAAAAATACACACCTAGTATTGTAGGCAAAAAAAATTGACACCTGTATAAAGGGAAACATTAAAAGGCAGACACAGGTTTGTCAGTAATAATCTGATTGGCTTGGTAAATATAAATGACAACAGTTAACTCAAGCTAAACAACTGGAATTTTTTTAAGCTTTCGGACACTGTTTTAAAATCTATAAAATTACTTGACTAACTGTTTTGTACACACGTCGGTGGATAATTTTACCGGGTTGGTAAATAAATAGTTTTCAAACTATTAGCCTGATAAACACCTTATCTACCGTACCAGAGGAAATTTAAAAGGACACGGTTGTGTCTTGATCAGAAATGATAAGCTGGTGTGTTACACCGAAGAGCGGGTATATATACCGACTATACAAATACATATACATATACATATACAGAACACTATTGAAATGGCACAGACAGTTTGTGGAGATGAGAGAAGTTATATACTAAGTTCAAGTTCCTTTCATCTTATAGCAGCCCAACTTACCATTGGCAGAGGCCGGTCCAGGAGATTTGAAATCAGACGATCCTCCGCTTCCTGGTTGAGAGAAATGTAACCAGTAACCACTTATGTTTAGAGAAATAACTAAAGCTTACCCCTTTGGTACTTTTATCCTTTTTAGCTTTAGTTACATTTACAGTGAAACCCAAGAGACTAAAAAGAAATTGCAGGATAGGCAGCACATATCGTCCGAAATGTTCTCCATTCCATTTTGATTCAAAAGTGCCGCCATGTTGGATAGAGTACGAATGGCCATATACCCCACGTGACCTTGACATACATTCTAAAAAGTCCGTGTGAGATATCCACACATTTATTTCCCTTCCCCAATCCATGTTGTCTCTATTGAGGACATATTCGTGGATTGACATATTGCCCAATACCTTACTTCCACTTCGACAAGCACGCATGGAATAGATATTGGTTTCTTAATGTTCCTGTCGACGGTACACGCTACATCCAGCTAAAGTATTAATGAGTAACTGCTATCCTCAGTATATAGAACAGAATTTTTCAAGCACGTTTCTACCAATATTGTAAGTGAAATTTTATTGAAAATACATGCCCGAGGGCTAATTGCAGTTATAAACAACATTTATGAAAAAAGGAAATACAATGGTATGTGAGACAACGTGTAACATTATGCTACATTCTACAACATACAAGGTACTAGTTTTGCTGGGTTTGACTTCTTCGTTTGAGGCAATGGAAGACGAATTTACCCACTTCTTCTATAATATTTGGGTTCTTTGAATTTAGTAGAAATATTGAGATAAGTATATAGATAAATAGCACATGTTAGTTTTCATGAAGGTAACGCACGTTATGCCACATGGACAGGTTGACAACAAATTCATTCGTTACTTTAAAGCAAAAGGATACATGAAGATGAATTGCCACGCTAATGATAATTGATAGCTTAATTTGTATTAACGAAAGAAGGGGCCAGCGGCACGATTTAATTTCCAGAACATCGATATTGCTTTCTAATCTAAAGGCTACAAGGAAGCATTTGCGAGAGTTGAATGGTAATGGGTAAAATGGTCTAATAGATTGAGAGTATAAAGTTTCAAGATATTTTTAAATCCTATAAACATATACTGACTTCATGGCAGCTTGTATTTACATTTTAAAGAAATGAATAATGCACACCAGTAAAGGCATGAAGAGTAAAATAAATGGAAAATTGATTTAAGGAACCCAGCCTACTTAGTTCTAGTCTCGTTATTTGGATAAAAAAATAAACCATTAAGTTTGACAATAGGGCCTGATGTGACAGAATATTGAAGTGGTGTATAAGGCGACACCACATGTTATTACCAGCCATAATTTACATTGAAAACTATGTATTGACCATGGTCAAATCCTAATCTGCTTCAGAACTACAACATTTGCTATCTGCAGTTCTGTCTGCTTTGCAAATTCCTTTTCTGTGGATATGCTTCTCAGATTCAAGAGTGTCTTACCTCTCCATACACCTTCCTGCTGGGTGAGTAGGGCCGTGCCAAAACACCGACCGTCAGAACAACAAACACTGCTACAGTCAGGGCTTTCATCGTCCTTCTATAATTTAGTTTTGCTGCAAAAATACGAGGAAAGGCTATTGATGATCATGGTACTTTTTTCGAATGCAAAGAAAGTACCTGCACTTTTGATTACAGACAGGCCGTTTTTTCTTTAACATTAAAGTTAGCATTGTCGACATGACCAAGGACATCGCTGAGATCACGGTCATCGAAGGAAATTCAATATACGACACAATAAACAACCGTACAAAATACATATTCTATCATAACAGATGGCAAATGGTCATAACTAGGGACACAATGCTGTTGACATGCTGCACAGCCAGATGTTGGCTACTGCAAAAATAATTACTGCATTAACTAACTTCAGTAACTTTTCTAAGTACAAATAAAATACTTTACAGATTTTTGGGGTCCATTTTGGATCCCCCAAGTCTCATATCTGTAGGAATAAACTTACCGGTTCTTCCCCTGGCTCGTTGCAACCGGTGGTCGTGATGCGGGAATAGCAAGTCGTGGGCTCCGCTCGGTACACCCACCTTAATACCGCCTTTATTCCCCAGTGGAACTGGCAATCGTTATGAAACCTACCTAATAGCTTAATATGTCTGTATCAAATTACACGAGGGCGGCTAGGGATGGCTGGATAATGAATTTGCCACAAGTGAGCCAAGACTGATCCAGCATCTACTGCCAGCATATGTAATAGGGAGAGGTTGGAAAGAAAATTGGTGTACCGTATGTGTTTTTGGTGAGCAACAAGAATTGGTGAACAACGAGATCAATTGGAATTGCCACTGCAATGGCCAGAGAGAAGAAGCCACCGTGATTGAATAGTTTGGAAAGACCATTGGTGTACTGTGTTATTGGTGAGCCACAAGATCAATGGCAATTGCCGGTGCTATGGCCAAAGAGAAGAAGTCACATTGACTGAATAGTTTATTTAAATCGGACGACAAGAAAATTCAATTAAATTCATTCTTAATTGCAGGAACACTGCCCATATCAGAACATACAATTAAAAATACTGATACACAAAGGTACTGATCCTACATCTACTGCCAGCAAGCGTAATAGGGAGAGTTTGGGAAGAAAAATTGTGTACTGTATGTGTTATTGGTGAACAACGAGAATTGGTGAACAGCGAGATCAATTGGAATTGCCACTGCAATGGCCAGAGAGAAGAAGCCACCGTGATTGAATGGTTTGGAAAGAACATTGGTGTACTGTGTTATTGGAGTACCAGAAGATCAATGGCAATTGCCGGTGCTATGGCCAAAGAGAAGAAGTCACATTGAATGAATAGTTTATTTAAATCGGACGACAAGAAAATTCAATTAAATTCATTCTTTATTGCAGGAACACGGCCCATATCAGAACATACAATTAAAAATACTGATACACAAAGATACTGATCCTACATCTACTGCCAGGCAAGCGTAATAGGGAGAGTTCGGAAAGAAAATCAGTGTACTGTATGTGTTATTGGTGAACAACGAGAATTGGTGAACACCGAGATCAGTTGGAATTGCCACTGCAATGGCCAGAGAGAAGAAGCCACCTTGATTGAATGGTTTGGAAAGAACATTGGTGTACTGTGTTATTGGTGAACCACAAGATCTATTGCAATTGCCAGTGCTATGACCTGGGAGAAGAAGACACATCGAATGAACAGTTTATTTAAATCGGACGACAAGAAAATTCAATTAAATTCATTCTTTATTGCAGGCACACAGCCCATATCAGAACATACAATTAAAAATACTGATACACAAAGATGTTGATCCTACCTCTACTGCCAGCAAGTGTAATAGGGAGAGTTCGGAAAGAAAATCGCTGTACTGTATGATTGTGTTATTGGTGAACAACGAGATCATTTGGAATTGCCGCTGCAATGGCCAGAGAGAAGAAGTCGCCTTGATTGAATGGTTTGGAAAGAACATTGGTGTAACGTTACTGTGTTATTGGTGAGCCACAAGATCAATGGCAATTGCCGCTGCAATGGCCAGAGAGAAGAAGTCACGTTTATTGAATGGTTTATTTAAATCAGACGACAAGAAAAGCATACAATGGCAGCCTCTATGGACCGATGTTGATACAACTCGGCTTTAAAAGTTTACAATCATCATGCTTCATACTTTTTTAGAATACATTTATGAACTTATAAACATTAGAAACACCTAAAGTTTCCCATTACTAAGTATTCTGCAGTTATAAATAAACTAATGGTATCCATTGACGAAGTCAAAGACACTATTTGCTCGTTGTTTAGTAAGTCAATTGTGAATTAGGATTTTATCCCGGTCAAAACTGACCAAAGGAGGCCATACCACCAGAAATGGCATTACCCTAGATTATCCACTGCAAGGAGCAAAACCAACATGTGCACGTATGGGTTTTCCATGCTCAAACCTTGCACGTGACATGTATTGTAGCTCTGGTCATAGATATATGTTAGGTAGGTACATGACACTCTAGGAAGACAATGCTATCACAATTCTCTCGGGCCACATATGTCTTGGTGGTCATGTAATAAACAGGTTCGTTTTTGTTACACTCTTCCGCTCATTTTTCCATATATTGTGTAAAAAGAAGAAAATCGAACGCTCTCATCGATTGGTGGTAAGAAAACATCAATCAAAATACCGCAGATCAAATTGCCCCTGACTTCCGGTTGTAGGCGGTTCTTTCATATTCATCATCCGTGAAGCTTATATTTCAGGTTTTAGACATGGTTTTACCTAAAGCCAATATATGCAGCGTCAGAATCTATTCATCAGTATTGTTTTATTGTTTCTTTTAAAATGTATTCTTTAATCGTGACAAAAAAGCACAAGAACCCTAGCAAGCTGCTAGTGTAACTCGGAAATTGACATTAAAACTTAAGGTGAGAAAGCAAATAAAAGTACTTCATTGTGTAGTTTGGGATTCCGGGATAGAAGCGAAAGAATCAAACAAACGTTATATCTACAATTTTTAATTGTGCATTGCAAGTCATAATATAACCAGGTAAAAAATTGGCACATTAATCGATTGCAGCATTCCTAGCTGCCTCTGTGATTAGATTTCTACATGACATCCTAAATAATTACTTTTATAATTAGATGCGTAGTTTTGCCCAGTGGGTTACGATAATGATTTTCCGCTACAAGAAAATTGAAATAGGAATCTAATCGAGTCAGAGAACAGTGGCAAGCAGGCAGATTAAAAAGACCATTGATACATGACAACTACTTTGAAATGTTCCTCGTTATAATAACTCTGTGAAAAAGTCATTTAAGCAACATGTGTAATAAACAGGTTCTTTATTTGCTACGTTCTGCCATTCATTGTACATTCCCAACTCTAAAATGTGAGGCAAGTTGTGTGGGTAAAAGGTCTTGTGTGCAGTAGAAATAATAGAAGTGTGCTCGCCACATTTCGCTCTTATGCAAAACGACACAACGAAGAATGGGAATATGTTGTACTCTCCGTGTTTCCGAGTTTTGCAGAGTCATGTCGCCTGAAAATGGGGAGTGTGTTATTGATACTGGTGTAAAGAATCATATGCAAACGAGGTGTAGTTGTTCTGTCTCCGTTCGCTGTCAGGCAAGACGACACGCCAAATATTAGCATATCGACTGCACCAAGGACGCCACCTAACAGAAGTGAATGTTTTAACAGATTGATACAGTCTATGGAAGATTAAACTTTTACGTCTAAACAGTTAACTAGAGTAGTGTTATGACGGTATCCACCATGTCGTCAGCTCTAAAATTTAGTTCAGTATTAAAATTTAGTATTTTAAAATTTAGTTCAGTATTAAAATTTAGTATTTTAAACCAGAACAAGTCAATGGTGAAACAAGTCAATGACTGGACGATTGTGATATAGATTGGGGTGGGATGGGTAGAGGGCTTATAGAGTGATATTTTCCTTTAACTCTCGCCAGATGTCGCCATCATCAATGCGAAAACCCTAGGAACCGGATACTAGTCATATATGCTTAACATGTTTTTGCTTTTAATAGCAATCTGCTAGTCAGTTATTCAGCGTTCCTAGCCAATGTTTAGAAAACGATCTTCAAAAGCCATAGGAATTGGTTATTTCTTCAATTTTACAAGATAGAGCACAATTAAAAGGCAATTCAAAGAGGCAAGGAAAGCAAAAATACCAATATAAGGAAATTAAACGATCTTTTTCTAAGAAATTTTTTTCTAGAAAATTTTGAAATAGATAAACATGAATAAATTCTTGAGGCCTGGGAAAATTAATGCTGTTATACATTTCATGGCCCTGTATTTTTGGTTGCTTAGGTTTGTAATTTCACCTGAAGTAATCAAACAAATTTAGTCTAAGAATGTGAAACTGTATTCAGTTTGGGATTCTGGTATTTTGATGATAATCTTCACTGCAATTTTCTTATAATTATATCCCCAAATTTCGGAGTGCCTTAAAAACAATCCTACCTATCTACAAGATCAATAACTGTTCAATTAATCGATTTTATGATACCTTTAGGATTACAGAAGGAATGTGGTGAAAATTTTGGAAAAGATTCCGCAATTTTTTATCAAACAAATTATTTGTCAGATTGAAAAATTGATGCCCGTTGCCAGAAAGAAGTGTAGGGTCAGCTATTTTCCTACCAGGGTGTGTCGGGTAGCCGGAAATTATTTCCTACGGCCTGACGGAAATTAATGAGGCCTGGCCCGTCGCTTCCCGTTACCATGTCAACACCCCGCGGGGAACATGAATCAGCTGATGACGTCAACAGACCGAACAAACATCCCAGGGCGCACCGCAGCTGTCACATCTATCACTCTGTCGTCATGGCAACGCGACGGCGTCAATATCCCGTCGGCTTCCTTTGATGGAGGGGGATCATTACTCTCCAAGCAGAGGTTGTGGGGGAATGATCGTTATATATGGCCGTTTTTGTCGCTACCCCCACCCGTCGGTTGCCGGCGACCTTCTCTGGCTAATGAATACTGCCTGGCCAATTTGATACTGTCTTTTTGCCAGCGAAAGGGATCTGCTTGGAGATTAGGGATTAGGA